GTATCTCAGAGTAATCAGCGTTCTTTAGAAGAGTACACTTTGGGAGACTAAGAGTTAATAGACAATTTGATAACAATGATGTATCTAAACAAAAGGTTTATAAAGTATGAGCCTCTTTAAACTGATAAAGGATTATTATTTTAGAGATGAGATGCTTATCATTGATAATTAGAATAATTAACTTTGAGAAATTTAAGTACACAGACTGGTTTCTGACTGCCTGTCTATGAATCTCAGCCTCTCTACTTACCAACTGAATAACACTGGGCAAATCACTAAACCACTTGGTGCCTCAATTTCCTCATCTAAAAAATGGAGATAACTGTACCTACATCATGGTATACTTATAAAGATTAAATGAACCAGTACATGTAAAGCAATCAAAAAAGTATCTGGCACAGAGTGACCACTTAACAAATGCAAATTCGTATTGTTACCTGCAATTTCCGGGCACTGCACACAGAAGTGTCTTCACACTTCAGTTTTCTAGTTAGATTCTTGGTAAGAGATGGCATCAAAGATTCAGAATAAGCTAGGGGAGCATATGAAAAACCCTCCTCAAAAGAAGTGGAGGCAAAGAGTTTTGCAGATTGCTAAAAACATCCTCTTTAAAAGTAAGCTATAGGGACTTCCCTGGTGGCACAGCGTTTAAGAATCCATCTGCCAATGCAGGGGACACGGGAAGATCCCACATGCCGCGGAGCAACTAAGCCCATGCGTCACAACTACTGAGCATGTGCTCTAGAGCCCGCAAGCCACAACTACTGAAGCCCACGCGCCTGGAGCCCGTGCTCCACAGCAAGAGAAGCCACCACAATGGGAAGCCTGCGCACAGCAATGAAGAGTAGCCCCTACTCACCGCAACTAGAGAAAGCCCATGTGCAGCAACGAAGACCCAACGCAGCCAAAAATTTATATATAAAAAAGTAAGCTATATATGTGCCGGTAATTCCTAAATTCGTTATCTCCAGCTCCAACCCTGGAGCTCCAGACTCTATACCCAGCTGCCTACTGGACACTTGACTTGGTAATTTAATAGGCATATTATTGGAATAAAAAGGGAAAACAATCGGTGTTCTCTTTAGTAAGTGAATGACCAACTGACCACTTCCAACAACAGAAACTCTCAGCTCTGCTCCATAAGTCACGAAAACCATGACGTGAATAAACATTCAGCTTCACACTGAGAAAGTGCCCAGTTTGGTCAACTACATGAAATCTCAGGCATTGCACCTGGTGCATTAGCACTAATGTTTTGCAATTATGATTCTACTGCATGTATTGTTTACTACCATACATGCAGTATTATATATTATTATCAAATAATTTCTTAAGGTAGGCAGGGAATAAGGAAATAAGTGAAATGAAGTGAAACGAAATATTAGATATCATTAGATGATTCCTAGGCTCTGTTGCCTGAGGCATACTGTGCTGTACACACCTCAGCAGAGGAAATTCTCAGTTGTCTTACCCTGGGCCATGACTCCAATCACCACCAATGATGATAGCAACAGGGTGACCAGACATCTCAAGTGGACTGCCCCAGCAAAATTCTAAGAGCATGGCCTTCCGCTCTCAAAAATGTCTAGACTGGATGAGAAATTATATATCTACCTGTGTATACTATCACCAAAAGTCCTGTAAAATGCATTCACTAATTCAGTTAATATCTACCAAACACCAACTAAGTGCCAGGTACCATGTTGGACTCCAGTACAATGCAGGATTCTAATACAGGCATACCTCGGAGATACTTAGGTTCGGTTCCAGACACAATAAAGTGAGTATCACAATAAAGCAAGTCATGAATTTTTTGGTTTCCCAGTGCATATAAAAGTTATGTTTTACTATACTGTAGTCTATTAATTGTGCAATAGCATTACATATAAAAAGAGTATATACCTTACTTAAAAAATAATTTATTGCTAAAAAATGCTAACCAATGCAGAGTCACGACAAACCTTTACTTGTTTAAAAAAAAATGCAGTATCTGTGAAACACAATAAAGTGAAGTGCAATAAAATAAGGAATGCCTGTAGAAAAACGACAGGTTTTGAAAAGCCATAAGATATATGCAAAAAGGGTCATATGTAGATCGAGAGCTTTAGTAAGGGTCTCTGAGTTACATACCTCATCTAAGACGTCATGAAAACCGCAAAAACATAGTTCAATTCCTTGACAATAGATAGAGAGCTGGATAAATATCATACACAGTGTGTGTCGGTGTTTGGGCATCTGTGTGTTTGTACAGTTTACTCTTAGAAAACGTGCACAAGAATTCATAACCACAGATGTTAAGCCTTTGTTGTAGATAGATATAGACTGCCGAATAAATGACTAAATGCTCCATCACCTCGCCACCATAAGCACTAACTGGAAACAGGTAATAAGGAAAGATGTTTACTTTTATAGGCAAGTAGCGTAACACACGACAGGAGTAATGGCATTACTACAACTATCTTTCCTTTCTCTGACTTAAGGCACTATTTCTCCTCTGACTTTCAAAACAATATATAATTCACATATTTTAGGCTGATCTTTCTCTATTAACATAGGTAGGATCAGAAAACCTGAATTGGTGCAGCTGTGATTTCTTCTGAATTAGAAACATTATTCAGATTATTTAAACAAATCACTGGTAAATAATCAAGCAGATCTCAAGGAAGCTTATACACTCACCTATCTTCAAAGCAGTTAACAAAGCAAAGGCCATTGATAAATTTAATGTTAGCAATTTTCAAACCTCAATCTTACAGCTAGAAGGAACCTAAGAAGTGGGGTGATCCTAGGGACTCCAACATATCTTGATGGGAATCCTGGCAACTTAGATGAAAGAGGCTGTAGCACTTTATAATTCTAACTAGATTCAACGTTTAAAACTCTTGGTTGGTAAAACCCTTAAAAAGATGATCTCTAAGGATCCCTCACTTCACAGACTATGACACTGAGGACCAGAGAAGCCACACAGTAATAGTGGGAAAAGTGTGACTTTGAAAGTCAGGTACTCTTGACTAACCTCTTCCCAGATCTCTCCCTTGCTGTGTGTTCCTAAGAACAATTAACTTTTCTGCTTCTCATTTAAATATGAAGGTAATGCTTACCTTTTAGGCATGTTATGAAGAATAAATTAAAACGCTTACCCTTTAAGAATGTTATGAAGATTCAATGAATTCATATTTATGAAAACATCTGGCACACAGTAGATACTCAATACATGTTAATTTCTTTGTTTCCAAAGGGTGACTAACTTGAGAGACACATAGCTGGTGAGGGCAAGAAACAGGACTAGAACCAAGAATTAAGATCCCCCTCACCACTCCAAAAAATTCTGACTGTTTCTTAATTGGCGTTTATCCTTGAATCATACCATAAAATATAGTTTTTAACACCTCAGTTATGGGGGGCAGGGGCTATTAAAGGAAACGTGAAATACCACAGCCTGCAAAAAAAGGTATTTGTGCCTTCAAGCACAAGCATACATTTGCTAAAAACAAAGCCTCAAAAGAGTCAGAAGTTTAATCAATGAAGTATTATACTGGCAACCTTTTGAAAAATGCCATCTGCTCTGTTTGTATCTGAAGCCTGCCCTTCTGGAAACAATGCTGTAGTACAGCATTGAAACAATGTTCGTTGTTTTCAATGGCTATTTCTCAACTCACATTTCAATATTAATGATTGCAGCAAATATGTATCAACTGTCAATCATGTGCAGGGTCCTGTGGACTCTACAGACATGAATCAGGCTTTGGTTTTACCATAAAAAAATCTTAGAATCTAGTAAAGAAGAGAGGCAGACTCTGAAGAATGATTTAAAAAAACAATTGTATATTAAGCCATGAGACTTGAAAAGTTCAAGGCCAGCCTGTGGTGAGGAGTTATTTAACACTATCTACTCAAGCATAAAATATTCACTGCATTGGCAGTAGGTACACGTAGCATAATAAACATTGTCTGAACTGTGTTAACTGAATTCCACTCTCGTTTCTGACACCAACTAGCTATGTGAACTTGTCATGTTATTTGATATCTTTAGGTTTCATGTTCCTCATCTGTCAAATGGGTGAATCCAAGCGGATCTCCAAGTCTCCTTCAGGCTCTAAAAGTCCAAACGATATGATGATGATATGATGCTGCTGCCGCTAACGATAGCAAGAAAAACTAAAGCTTTTATTTACTGCTCACATATTATGTACCAAGCACTGTGCTAAAGTGCATCATTTGTATTATCTTCACGACAACCTTATGAAATTGGCATTATTACGCTTCTTTTACAGATGAGGAAAAGGAGGCTAAACAGTATTAAAAGGCTGGAGTCGCGATTTGAACAGAAGCAGTCTGAACCTAACCCAGGAGTTAACCCTTAACCGCTAAGCCCAAACTCCCTGTCTCCGCGAAAACTGTCTTATCTGTTAAGAAATAAAGACAAACAAAATACAGCTAGGAAAAGGGTCCTTCCTGACTAGAGGGCAGGTATGAGTTACTGTCACACTTGTCTGTTTCACGTGTTAGTATATCTCTTGCTTCACTTGCTCCGCGACGCTCGCGTGCACCACACGGCGGTGTGCACTACCGCGAGGCAGAGAGCGGCGACCGCCAGAGGCAGCGCCGGCCCGGGCTGAGGCGCACGGAAGGCTGTGGGGTGGGGGAGGACCCGCAGGAGCGCGGGCAGAGTCGGTACCTGGGCTGCTGGCTGCTCCTGCCGGCTGGGTCTTCCACCACTCGTCTCCAAGATCGTCTGCCATCTCCACGCGGGACTCGACGTGGCCCGACCACCAGGTAGGAGCGGGCGCTGACCGTGACTCGCGCTGCTTCAGAGGAGGGATGCCGGCGTCGCAGCACGCTCAGCCTCTCCTCAGACACTGTCGCCTCCGCCCCGCGGCGATGACGTCATAACCTCCGCCTCGCCTCCCCGGCAGCTGCGTCTAACTGTTCGCAGTTTCTACATCAGTGCGGATGGGCAGGATCAGTCTGGAGACTTAAAGTAAACCCCCACAAAAGCCGAAAGAAAGGAAGACACGTAAGCAGAAAGAGTACATCATTTTTTTAAGTGCCACCTTTAAAACATTTTGTTTAGGTTTTATTTTTGCCGAATAGATATTGTCGAAAGTGGGAGACCAAATGCTAAGACAGTTTTCCTCTGTTCAGTTTCAAAGGCCTTGAGTCGCGGGAGAAGACCATAGCACGTGGGTGTGTTTTCGTCTGTGTGTTAGTGTTTGGGCGTCGGTGTGTTTTTACAGTTTGCTCTATAAAAAATCGTGCACAAGTCATGACCATGAATTTTGGACCTTTCTTGTAGATGAGGGTACTGCTCTTTTTATACGATATGAGGAAAGTAAATGTTGACTGGTCCAGAAGTGCTTGCCAACGGACAGACCCGAGAAGTACGGAGAGTTTATAGTCGACTTCCCCGCACTCTCTTCGACTGCGCCCCCGCCCCCACACCTGGTTTTGTGAAACAAGGGAAGAAGAAGGGAGCCCGTTGCTGCCCAAGTATAGGTAAGCGACCTACGGTGCTTGTCTCACTCCCTCAAGTGGCAGAGGTGGGCAGGGAAAACCCGCTGGGCGCCTAGGGCTGGGGCCAGCTGTAAACTAAGTGTGTGGACGATACTTTTCAGGAGAGTCATGAGGTGAAAATCATACGAAAATGCATTAAATACACGTGATGTGCCTGTCACTGTAATTGGAATACTGGTTTAAAGATGAGTAGGATACGATCCCGCCTTCCAGATTTCACCAACTCAAGTAGAGGAGCTACAACTTGTAAGGATGAAGGTCTAAACTAATGATGAGGATACATTCTCAGAAACAACCGGGACTCTTAATCTGATGAGGATAAGATTAGCCAAATGTGAAAATTATCCAAAACCCACCCAACTAATAGGTGGCTTATAAATGCATTACTGATAAGACTTTATCAGTATGTCCTAAACGCTCTAAAAGGGAAGATATTAGCTATATAAATATGCCAAATGTAAAATAATCTGTGATCATAGAAAGTAATGTGTCTTTCATGAGGAAATGTAGATGGCAGAAATTATGGTGGTTGACTGAAAAGTTAGATAAGAAATACCAATGAGGAGGAGGAAGTGCCATGACCAATAAGCATATGAAAAGATGTTCTGTCTCATTATTAATCTGAGAAATACAAAAAAGACTACAATGAGATACTGTTTTTCATTCAGTAAATTGACAAAATTAAGAAGTCTGGCCGTACCAAATTCTGGAGAATATGTGTGTCAGTAGGAACTCTTAAACGTTATTGCTGTGAGTGTAAATTGGTATAACCACTTAGAAAAGCAATACGGCAAAATCTTGTAAAGGTCAACATACACACCTTATGATCCAGCAATTTCCACTCCTAACTATATACATTTGGGAAACTGTTGCGTATGTGTACCAGGAAATTATAAAAGAATATTCACAGCAGCACTGTTAATAATAGCAAAAATTTGGAAACAACCCAAATGTTTTATATAGGAAAATGGATAACTAAATTACAATATAACCGCACAATTAAGCAGAGTAAATGAATGAACATACATAATAACATGGATATACTTTGGAAATATAATGGTTAATTTTAAAAAGCCAAGCAAAAAATAAAAATAAAAAATAAAAAAGCCAAGTCTCAGATACCATTTTGTAAAGTTCAGATACAAAGAAAACTAAAAAAAATTCAGGCAAAAAAATTCTTATGTGATTTTAAGGTAAGAGACTGGTAAGCACGAAATTCAGGATGGGGGAATTCCCTGGTGGTCCAGTGATTAGGTCTCCATGCTCTCACTGCGGAGGGCCCAGGTTCAACCCTGCTCGGGGAACTAGAGTCTCACAAGCCTCACAGTGTGGTGAGGCAAAAAAAAAAAAAAAAAAAAGGATATGGATTGGTGGGGGAGGGGAGTGGTCAGAGAGATGAGATTAGGAAGAACAAAGGTAAATGTAAATTATTGGCAAAGTTCTAATTCAGATAGAGTGGATGTGCATTTAAGTATTATGCTTTATAACTTATAGGTATGTTACATATATTTTTGTGGTATCAAATAACACGTTATTTGTATAATTTAAAATATAAGAAAAGATCCACTTACACAAAAGAGAAATTTTCATTAAAGTTAAGTGCTGTTCATTAAGAACTCATTAAGAATTCCAAATAATAACCCTTTATCTCAAATGACATTCAAAGCTGCCAGACAGTCTTACTACTTTCCCATGTGAGTTCACTTTCCCACTGTCCTGATCTTATCCCAGGATCAGTCTTCCTATTGGCCCTGGATTCCAACCACCTCAGATGCCGGTCACAAGTCCCCAGTTGTCACCTATGCTTCTGACCTACCAGCTATAAATCAGAGGTTCTCATGGACTCCCTTCTTGGGTCCAGTCGTTTACTAGAATAGTTTATAGAACTCAGAGAAATACTTATATTTACCAGTTTATTATATAAAGAATACAGATGAACAGCAAGATGAAGAGATGCATAGAGTAAGGTACAGAAGGGTCCCAATCACAGGAACTTCTGTTTCCGTGGAGTTGGAGTGTGGCATTCCTGGCATATGGATCTGTTCACCAGCCTGGAAGCTCTCTGAACCCTATACTTTTGGAATTTTTATGGAGGCTTCAATATATAGGCATGATTCATCATTATCTGTCTCCAGCCCCTCTGCCCTTCTTGGAGGATGGGGAGTGAGCTGAAAGTTCCAAGCTTTTAATCATGGCTTGGTGTTTCTGGTGACCAGCCCCTGTCCAGAAGCCCACCAAGTGACACCTTATTAGAAAAAAAAGACTCCTACCACTCAGGAAATTCCAAGGAATTTAGGAGTTCTGCGTCAGGAGCCAGGGGGCAGAGACAATGCCCTTTTAATCATACTGTCGTCTTCTTCCATTATGACTTTGAAGCAATACTATTGATGCCCTGCTCCATTTTCCCTTGGCCCATATCTGAGCTTCTTTGTAGCTGTGGTAGACTATTTCCATCATGCTGACAACTTCCCTCCCTGAGCACCCCTACCGTCTGCTTCTCTGGCACCATGGGAGCTTGCTCAGCCCAAGAATCAATGCAGTTAATGCTCCCAAGGGCAACCCTCAACCAAAAGGGAACAGGTGTTAGTAGATAATGCTCCAGATTCTCTGTCCTTTGGTGGCACAATTCTGAAATATGTTTCACACAGTTTTTTAAAGGGTCCCCAGATGGACACTTTATTGCCTTTTCTGTTTTTCATGTCTCCTTTCCCCAGTCTCTCACTTGTGCTTCCTGAGATCACCTCCCAAATAATATACCTGCACCCAAGTCCTAGTCTCAAGGTCTGCTTTAGAAGCAACCTAAATTAAGAGTTGGTACGGGAAATACCCTAGAAAGCAGACCCTCAAGATAAAACTTGGAAATCAATTTACTCACTGACCAGATGGTAACAAGGACATAATTGGTAGTGTTAAGAAGAATGGTAAAAACTTCTGGTGTACTGTAACATCACAATAACTAAAACACAGTCACTCACCTGTGGTAGATTAGAATGACGTACAGGTGGAAGGGGAAATGCTGGCTTGTGCAATAGCTTTAACACTTGAAAGATATGGGGCAATTGTAATTTTAAAGATTGTGGAGTTGGCTGGTTATTATCAATTCCAAATATGCTGAGAAAACCAGAAGTCCTTCCTAGCAGTGCTTAAAAGAAGCCCTTCTGCAACCAGAGACCATACTGTGCTATAAATTCAGGTCAAAATTTGATCAAAAGGGTAGCAGAGCTACAAAGAGATTGACTGCACAGACCGATATGTTACCTATGGTCAAGTCAAGTCCTCAAAGGGAAGGAGAGACTGAGACTGAGATGGAGACATTTGGGTAGATGTCCTTGAGGTTCCTGAACTTCCAGATTCTTGAGCCTTCTGGGCTGACAGAACTGGCCCTTTCTCCCTTGCTGGAGGAAAATAGCCTCTTATTACCTGGAGACCATTCAAGGCCTCACTGTAGTCAGTTGCCTCACAAAATGATATTTGAGCCCTCACCTCCTCTCATTGCTTCTTCACCAATAACTAGAGTTAGTTCTCAGCATAGACAGAGTGGAAAATACAGCCCCTATTATAGGAGAAAATTATTTATTTACAAGAAAGACTATAGGTATATATATATATATATATATATGTATATATACACATATATCTGTATGTGTGTGTATGTGTGTGTGTATATATATATATATGATATATTCAGCAGGAACCACGAATTTCTTAAGGTAATGGATCTTGAGAGTATTGGACCAGCAGTGTGTGAAGCTGGGTAGGAGAGAGGATATTGATATGGAGACACTCCCCAGTGGCCAGTGATTTAATGTCCTGTGAAGTCCTAACATCCTGTGGGGATGGCATCTTAAAACTTAGACACAATGGTAACCTATAGTAAATGAGATGGAAACATAGGGACTGCCTTGGCAGATTATTAAGGAAAGGGTCGGGAGACTCAGCGGTGGACTTTAGAATGGATTTATTATGTGAGACCAGAGAACCTACTAGCTGACTCTCTTCCCTGGGAGGGCCCAGAGGACAGTTCTTTCACCATAAGATTGCAGTAGTGTGTGGCACTGACTTAGTTGAGAGACTCAGTGGTGACTGTCCTGTGTAGGCCAGAGGTGACAGTAGGAGATGCCCGAGTGTCCGTGAATATGATAGAATTCCAGAATAGTGAAAGCAGTTGGCAGCACTGAACCATCAGAAGCAAAGTGAATTTAATCAGTGGTCAGGGATCCTTGAAATGTAGGGGGTCTGTGGTGTTCCACAGACCATGAGTTCCTAGGGACAAGATAGAAAGCTAATGAGGGTATTGATTGACTTATATAGCAACAACAACAAAATCAAGAGCTGGTAAGCAGAAGGCAGATTTTTAACTGCCAAAATGGAAAAGCATGATCTTTGGACATGTTTCCAGATATGAGCCAATTCTCAAACTCAAGAATCCATCGATTAAAGGGAATCTGGATCCCCCTGAGGAAGTTCTCTGCAACACAACCAGTATATACAATATGTACTCATACCTTTTCCAAAGGAAACTATGGCCATTTTTCAGAGTAATTGTCCACTGTAGAAATGGGAAATACCTAGCTCTTTCAAGGGCTGTTGGATACAGGGTAACTACATTGACACAGGGAATCCAAACTGCCACCATAACCCCCGTTAGAGTGGGGCATACAGGGGCCAGGTGACAGAGTCCTGGCCTAAATCTGTTTCATGGTGGCTTCAATGGGTTCATCAACTTATGGTCATATCTCCAGTTGCTGAGTGCATAATTGAGATGGATGTACTTAGCAGCTGGTAGGACCATCACATTGATCCTCTGACCAATAAAGTAAGAACCGTTAAGGTAGGAAGGGTCATGTGGAAGCCCCTGAAAGTGCCTTCCCTTTCCCCAGTCCTTTCAAAGATAGTAAATTAGAAGCACTATCTCATTCTAGTGAAGTTGCAGAGATTAATGCCAACCTAAAAGACTTAAAGGATACAAGGGGTTTGGTTTA